TACATTATTGTTTCTCCTCTATGCCCCGCCTTTCTGAACCGCATCAATTTTTACAAAACTCATCGGTCTGAAAAGCGAGGTGATTGGCCAGCTTTCCAGTGCATTGTGATTGGCCGGAAATGTTGCCAGAAATGTTATGTCCCTTACCATATTGTGAAATGTTACGCAAATCTTCCCACATCGTGACGTAGACATGTGGGGGCATGTTAGAATGAGCCGTTTTTGGTAGGTGTGGTTGACTCCACTTTTATAAAGAATATCTCTTTGGATTTTAGACTTAAGTCTTTGCAACTTTACCGATCTTCTTTATGCACCAAGAGCTTGTAACACTCCAAAGAGAAAGGAAAAATTTAAATTGCATCATATGACCCTTTTAAGCAACCCAGGTTCACTGGAAATAAGTGACTCTGGCTAGTAGTGGCTACATATCTGCAAAACTGCAGATACATACATTTCACTACAGTTTCCAGCTGCAACTTTTGTTGCTTTTTACACAAATTATTACAGGGGCATATAATCAAATTTTAAAGACTTGTTTTTGCACAGTTCCTTACACAATACAATGTTATGACCTCAAAACACTTTTAATATTGTGTGTGACTTGAAAACTAACACTTTTTGATGTTTGCATCAATAACCAACTCCATATATGTTGCTTTTCTGATGCAGTAAACTTGCTCAGTAACTCACCCAGTACAGCACTGCACTTGTGTTGCTTGAATACAAGTCTCAAGAAACACAAGTCACGTAAATGAACTCAAAGGCCTGTAGAAGCAAGTTAAAATGGATGGTTGCGTCTGCAAATGCATTTTTATCTCAAGTTTGTTTTTTTTCTCACACTATCGGTTAGTGTAGGTGGTACGTTATTTTCAAATGCAAAAGAGCATTAATGTGTTGCTTGAATACAAGTCTCAAGAAACACAAGTCACGTAAATGAACTCAAAGGCCTGTAGAAGCAAGTTAAAATGGATGGTTGCGTCAGCAAATGCATTTTTATCTCAAGTTTGTTTTTTTCTCACACTATCGGTTAGTGTAGGTGGTACGTTATTTTCAAATGCAAAAGAGCATTATGCATCGGCTGTCAAAAAACCAATATCGGTCGACCACTACTGTTGTGATATGTGCATTAACTGATGTAATAAAATGTTCTACACGTACGTGTGTGTGTGTGTTTGTGTGTGTGTCAGGGAAACATAAGCTTAAATCAAATCTCAATGCATCAGTGTGTAGATAATCATTTATATTGTACATCCTGTGCATGTCCTGTTGTAATGGAGTGAATATCTAAACATTTTTCCAGCCAGTCAAAACATTTAATGAAAATAATGAGATTTTAGCACTTACGCACAAACATTAAGCTGTGAAAGGTGGATTGTTGCACACATTTTTTTCTTTGACTGATATCCTGATCGTGATATCTTTGCTTCTTCCTTGTAGCCTTTTTCTGATTGATGTCTGGTTAGATACAATTTAACAACCGATTTGCTCATGTCTCTCTCTGTTCACAGGATTGGCCAAGCGAGTCGGAGCTCGTTTGCTCCTCGCCTCCACTTCAGAAGTGTATGGAGGTACGTGTACAAATGTCTCCATTTTAATGCTAGCAGTGATTCAAAGGGAGCACTAAATATCGAGACATTTATCGGAGAGATAAACTAGCATTAATATTTATATCTCTCATAAACACACTTACACTTAAATTGCTGTGCTCCTATTGGTACTTCATTAGAAATCTGTTGTAGAAGTAGTTACGCTGCAGAACAGTTGACCCTACATTTCTGACAAATCTATCAATGTACACCTGGTTTTTGACATCAGAGACCTGTAGTCATGAAGTTTTAGCACTTTAGCTATATGTCTGTACCACATTTTGAGTTGAAATTAGGGTTGCAAAATTCCGGGATTTTTCAAGTCTGGAAACTTCCCATGGGAATTAACAGGAATTAATGGAAATAAACTGGACATTTGCAAAATTGCAGGATCTGGGGACTTAAATGTAGTTGAGAAAAAATCTTGCTGCATAATCTTGGTTAAAACAACCTGATTTAATGCAATTTCAGTTTAATTTCTACTCTACACATTGCTCAATCACATGCACACTGCTTACTGCAGGGTTATTGAGGCCACACCCCCTACATGCACTGTGCTTTCCTCCATAACATGAACAGATCATTTCTTAAATCCTGCACACAAAATATCAAAATGTCCATCCTTGGTAAGTATTCATGTAAATTACATGAATATTACAAAAAAATGTCCCTGTGCTGTGTGTAATATACTGTGCAACTAAATTAGGCTATACCATTGTAAAAACAAATACACTGACTGAACAAACCATAGACTGGAACAAACATTTAGGTGAGATAATAATAAAACAGAAGTCTAAAAATGACCCTCCCCCACACACAATCCCCTCTAATCACCTAAGCTGCGTTCACACTAGCAGCAACTTTGTCTCTGCATGTCGCCAGGGGCTGGCGATGAGGTTAACTAGTGGTCGTTTTCACTACTGGTTGCCTTGACCACGAATCAGGTTTCTTGCCGCTAAATACAAACATTTTGGAGGCAAAAGACTAAATATAATATAAATATGAATTAAATCCGTACATACAAACAAAAATGAATGAGAAACAGAGCCTACTTTTTTCCATTGTGTATGTTTATCTACGGCTGAGAGGAGAACGATCACACGAGCTCTGCCGTCTTCTTCCTATTGGCTGTCGCTTCCGAAAGTCGCTCTTCATTTGCATAAAGTTGAAGGATTCTGAACTTTGTTGCGTCGCTGGACATGCCCCATCCATCGCCAACGGCCACTGTCACACATTGTTGCTGGAAATCGCCAGCTCTCCATTGAAATGAATGGGAGTGTGTTGCTTTGTCGCTTGTTGTGTGAACGGGGCTTAAGAGGGGGATTCCCCTCCATTTTCTCTGAAGCTACACTTGCTGCATTTGAGCCCAAATACTACATCTAAGTTTTGATATTCTAAATATATTTGATCTATGGGATTCAAGTCCCCCTACATGCACTGTGCTTTCCTCCATAACATGAACAGATCATTTCTTAAATCCTGCACACAAAATATCAAAATGTCCATCCTTGGTAAGTATTCATGTAAATTACATGAATATTACAAAAAAATGTCCCTGTGCTGTGTGTAATATACTGTGCAACTAAATTAGGCTATACCATTGTAAAAACAAATACACTGACTGAACAAACCATAGACTGGAACAAACATTTAGGTGAGATAATAATAAAACAGAAGTCTAAAAATGACCCTCCCCCACACACAATCCCCTCTAATCACCTAAGCTGCGTTCACACTAGCAGCAACTTTGTCTCTGCATGTCGCCAGGGGCTGGCGATGAGGTTAACTAGTGGTCGTTCTCACTACTGGTTGCCTTGACAACGAATCAGGTTTCTTGCCGCTAAATACAAACATTTTGGAGGCAAAAGACTAAATATAATATAAATATGAATTAAATCCGTACATACAAACAAAAATGAATGAGAAACAGAGCCTACTTTTTTCCATTGTGTATGTTTATCTACGGCTGAGAGGAGAACGATCACACGAGCTCTGCCGTCTTCTTCCTATTGGCTGTCGCTTCCGAAAGTCGCTCTTCATTTGCATAAAGTTGAAGGATTCTGAACTTTGTTGCGTCGCTGGACATGCCCCATCCATCGCCAACGGCCACTGTCACACATTGTTGCTGGAAATCGTCAGCTCTCCATTGAAATGAATGGGAGTGTGTTGCTTTGTCGCTTGTTGTGTGAACGGGGCTTAAGAGGGGGATTCCCCTCCATTTTCTCTGAAGCTACACTTGCTGCATTTGAGCCCAAAGACTACATCTAAGTTTTGATATTCTAAATATATTTGATCTATGGGATTCAAGTTTAACTATTAAATATCAAAAAGGGTTTATACAGTAGCTAGCTAGCCAGTAAAATCAAGATATTAAAAATCTAAGCGAGTTAGCACTATTTCATTGACAATTTATGAGGTATAATCTAGCTCAAGCTGTGATGCTCTTCCAGTTTTCTGTTATCATATAGGGGTAAAGTACTGGTCAAACGTTTGGAAACATTACTATTTTAATATTTTAAACATTGCAAATCTTTTGCTCATCAAGCCTTCATTTATTTGATCAAAAATACAGAACAAAACAGTAATATTGTGCAGTATTACTGGTATTACAATTTAAAATATAATGTTTTTCTGTGATGCAAAGCTGAATTTTGAACATCATTACTCCAGTCTTCAGTGTCACATGATTCTTCAGAAATCATTCTAATATGCTGATTTATAATACATTTTGGAAACAGTTGTGCTGTTTAAATTTTTTTTATTATTACCTGGGAATCTTTTTTCAGGATTCTTTTTTTTTTTTTAAATAAATTAATACTTTTATTCAACAAGGATGTGTTAAATTAATAAAAAGTAATCGTAAAGACTTATGTTGTTAAAAAAGTTTTCTATTTTGAATAAACACTGTTCACAAGTTTTCATTCATCAATAAATCCTGAAAAAAGCATCACAGATTCCCCCCCCAAAGAAATCCCCCCAAAAAAATGTTTTTAATTTTTATTAGTTTGCATGCATGTGAACCTATGATCAAACAAAATGTTTATATTTATGTTTGTATATGATAGTTTTATACAGTTCCCAAAATTTCCACCAATTACTTCCCATAAAATCCTGGTAAATTTCAAACTTGGAATATTTCCAAAATTCCCCAGATGAAGTTCGCATGGAAAGTTTCCGGAAATTGTCCGCCCCTTTGCAACCCTAGTTGAAATCAAAAGCTAGAAGGGAGAGGGAAGGAGTGCTTCAGTCAATGTGAGTGTGCATGAGTCTGGAATCTGAAAAGATTTTGGTAGAGGTTGAACTTTATGGCTGTTCTATGAAATTATAAAACACCTGATCCCAATTGTGAAGAATGGTGGTGGAAGTGATGTAGTGGAGGCTGCTTTGAGTTCATCTTGAATTACCACACAAATAATGTGGCCTAAAAGGAAATAAAATATTATGGCCAAGTTGTCCATGTCAAAACTTGTAGTTTATACAATTTGGAGGCAAACGGTAAATGCAAGAATGCTTTCTCCAAGTCAGAATTCTGAAGATGTCTTCCAGAGGAGAAATCGGCTCTCAAGGCTAAGGCAATGTCCAGACAATTGTGTTTAAGTTGTTTTTGATTTATTTTCAACAAGTCAAAGAAAGAAAAATTGAACAATTCACTTGCACATCTCTTAAATAAGCAATAATTACACTGCTGAGAGGTTGTGGCACCTGAAACGACTCAACAAAGCCTTTTTCTGGTTAATCCCACATCTTGCAGCTTGCAATTGATCTTCTGCAGTTTGATGGTTGGATAATCGGCTCATTTGGGATTTGGGAATGAACACAGATCTCTGTCCATCAAGAGAGAAATGTAGCTTCCAAGTTACACGTGGTCAAGGTTTTGTTGTTTGTTTTTTAGGTTTATTCTTTTATTTGCTCTTCTCTTTAGTATCTTTAAGCTGGACAAATGGCATTCATTTCATGCAAGAAAGAAAAACTATTATCACTAGAAAATAACAGTTCCGTCAATTCAGCTGTTGGGCCATTCATTGCCTTCAAACTTTGTAAGAGCTACTATTCTTCATGATGGTTGCTTTAAATGATTGTTTGTCTGAATGTGCATAAAAAAAATCTATCCTGCTTTCACCCTAACTTCTGCTCCAGCCGTCAAAATCTGCCTTTTTACGTTAATTGAATTGCATTGAAATCCAAGTACCACTTTTTTTTTTTTTTTTTTTACTGAATAGTACAATATGTTTGAGGACATAAACAAATATAAGGACTTGCATAAGCCCTGTGCTATACTTGTGTAAGTATTATTAAGGGAATTATATCAATTGAATGTCAACTTTTATTGGTCAACTTTATTTCTCAAAATTTAAACGTGATAATGTCAATATATAATGTAATATTTTTTAGTTATAGGATATACAGCTATGTCATAATTATTTAACCCCTCTTACACAATGCTGTTTTAAAGTCACTTATTTGTATTGTTGGGTACAAAATTGTTAAAACAATTAAACCTTTGGAAACTCTATAGTTAAACTGAATTAATTTGAACTGATAACAATTTAGCCCATGCATGTGCTGAAATAGAGTAGCAAATGTGGCCAAGTCAAAAGAGCTCTCAGAAAACTATAGAGAACAAATTGTTTTAATACATTAGAAAGTGTATGGCTACAAGAAGATTGCAATTGCAATATAACCAGATGAGTGGAAGAACATGGTCAAACAGGGAGGTGGACCAGTCTTGTTATAGAGGTAACTGCTGTTTCAAGAACTGGAAATCTTGACTGTATGAAAGACCTCATTGATTCTTTATATTAGTATTAGCTTTTTGGAAGAAATTTTGATATCTTTGGTGCATAGACTTTATGATCATTGGACTTTCCAGCAGGCAACCATCCCAAAATATCCATCCAAATCTACTGAAGATTGGTGCAGGGATTGGTCATAGAATGTTCTTGAGTGGCCTGTTCAGCCTCATCAGAAATACTTGGAAGGATTTGAAGAAAGCAGTGGCAATATGACAGTCAAAGATTATCAGTGATCTAGAAGCTTTTCCAAGTTAGGAATGGACCAGGATTGCAATAGAGAGGTGACAGAAGCTTGAAAGCGCCTGGAGGTTATAAAGAATGAATATGGCATTTGGGGGGGTTGTATCATTTTGACATGAATGTTTAGAGCAAATTAGTTTTTTTTTTTGTTGTTTTTTTCGTTATCTTCATTTTTCAACATTCTCCGAATCACTCATAGGTGTATTAATAAACTTTCTATACTAGTGCTGCTGCCTTGGTTTAATTGTTTTCATAAAAATGTATTCATGGTAGCAGAATGTCTTGTAGGTCAAGGGGGTTGAATAGTTTTGATTGCAACTGTACAGTTTTGATTTCAGGAGTCATCCATACAGTTTACAGAAATTAAATCCCTTCTACAGCTGCCTTTCATTTGGTCGGAATGTGGTGTAGTTTGTCAACCTGGTGCAAAATGTAAGGGGGTCTGAATACTTTCCGTACCCACTGTATATGCAAGTGCTTATTGTCATCTCTGATGTCCAACAGGAAATCACACAACCAATATTTCATGTGTGACTGGAATTTTGTTCTATCACTTATTCAGCCACACACAAGCACGTAATGAATGGAGTGCAGATGTGGAAGATCTCTCAGAAATAACAGCTGTGTACGGCAATCTAATCTAATAGGCTGTTTCACAGCAATCGCCACATGCATTAGTCTCACATAATCTCAGTAATTTTGACAGTAGTGATTTTTAAAAACTAAAGCAGAGAGAAAAGGTCTTAGGTCCTCTAGAATCACTTGTGCTATCTGTTATGTAAGTAGCGGTTTCTTTATTTTGTCAATGAATCTTCAGCATGTTCGAACAAGTCACATGAAGTTTTAATGTCAGACCTAGATCAAATGTTTTGAAACTTTGTATGTCTTTATGATTTATTGCCGGAGTCTTTTAAATCATTTATCTATTCATAGTTCTGTGTCCATAGAAATGCACTGCGACTACTTATAAAAATGTCAAATTTTTATTTTTTCATTTTGGCTGTATAGACAATGGCTGTCTAGACATTATATTGTAGTTCTCCCTCATTTAACAATTTAAAATGTTTGTGTTAAATGTGAGACATAGGAGGTTGTGTATTGTATATCATGTTTGTGTGTTTGTGTCTTCAACTAGACCCAGAGGTGCACCCCCAGAATGAGGAATACTGGGGTCATGTGAACCCTATTGGCCCCCGGGCCTGTTATGATGAAGGGAAACGTGTTGCTGAGACGATGTGTTACGCCTACATGAAACAGGTATGAGTGAAATTAGATGGATTTCTGTATTTAATTTTTTTCATCCTGCTCTCGAGGTGTATTAACATAGAGAACTATAGAAATGTGCCTTCATATTCTTTTTCCAGTCTACTCAATATTCTTTGCTGTCACTTTCTTATCCAAGCAACATAACATAAAAGAATACGCACTGACTGAGAGCCAATTATAATTGGAGAAAGAAACTAATACATATAATGTAATGTAATATAATGTAAAGTCACAAACTGAACTTAGACCTCCAAAGCCATGGAGGACTTGAAATAATGATGCAAGAAGCTCACATATTGTTTATACATCAAAGGGCTACAATTTCAATGCTAGGAAGAGTAACAAATAATTTTATGGAAAAACAAGGCAGCTTGGCAACCTCACAACAGCGTGGATGGATGCACTGTTTGATGAGAAATTAAATGTGAAACTGAAATGGTGAGCCAAACCATTAGCAGCATTTTTAGATGGAAACAGTGGGTCTTATTCCCTAAATATGCATTTGCACAAATTTGTGTGTGAAATCTGTATAAAGACATGTTTAACGAACAAATCATGATTCACCAATTACTTTCATACTAAAATGTATTTTTAAAAAAAGAAATAATTTAGGTGGCTTTATAATTGTGTAAAGTTTGTTTTATACAGATTGGGATTAAGTTCCCTGGTACAGCGCAAGATTATTTCCAGAGGTTAGATCAGGGGTGTCCAATCTCGGTCCTGGAGGGCCGGTGTCCTACAGAGTTTAGCTCCAACTTGCCTCAACGCACCTGAATGGAAGTTTCTAGTATGCCTATAAGAGCTTGATTAGCTGGTTCAGGTGTGTTTGATTAGGGTTGGAGCTAAACTCTGCAGGACACTGACCCTCCAGGACCGAGTTTGGACACCTCTGGGTTAGATAATCAGAAGGTAGTTATTTTGAATATTTTGCTCTGTCATTAATGTACCAAATACTATGGCCTTTTGAGTGATGCACTTTTGGGATACAAACCCCAAAATGTCTCACTTTCAACATTTGATATGTTATCTATATTCTATTGTGAATAAAATATAAGTTTATGAGATTTGTAAATTATTCCATTCCTTTTTTACTCACAATTTGTATAGTGTCCCAACTTTTTTGGAATTGGGTTTGTAAATAGATTTACGTCGTCAGTTAAAACCATATTGTATTTGATGCAAAATTAAAAACACAGTACCTAATTCTCACTTTTAGTGGCTAAATACAATTAGATGTAATGACAAAATAAAGTCTATTGGGTCACCTGTTAAGCACCTTGGTGTTACCTAAAGGTTGATAATCTTGGGCTGTGTTTGGTTGACACACAGGCAAGATCACAATGATCGTCTGACTCTCTGGTTCTTTGTGACACGTTAATTTCCTGACTGTGTCTCGTTGTTAAACACTGTGATGTGATTGATTGGCACCAGCCTTTGCTGCAGCTGAATTGATCTGTTTTTCTTCACTTGGTGTCAGTCTCAGATTTCTTTATCATATTCATTGTTCCTTCAGTACATGCATTGTCGCTCTATGTGTCACCACATGAGAAATTCTCCCTCACAAGTTTGATTTGAATATTATCAGTGACATGTGGCATCTGGCATGTCCTTTTAAAATTAAATTCAGTGACATTTGAGAAAGATAAAGGCTGTTTGACAATTATTTGAAGTAATAGTCTGTCTTATGTTTGTTCAGAAGATTACTTGTTCCCTGTTTACCACCTTTTATGCAGATTGAGGATAATATGCCAGTTTTGATTATTTTTGTTTTGCATAAAACACAGCCTTAAGGGATAGTCCACACAAAAATGAAAATGTGGTTATTCAGTTGGAGTCTAAATGTCAAAGTGTTTTTTTCCATACAATGAGAGTCAGTGGTCACCAAAATGGTTTATCTATCAAAATTCTTCCAAATATCCTGTGTTGTTTTCCGCAGAAGAAAGCAAGTCAGTTTTCATTTTTGGGTGAGCTATCCCTATAAAGCTAGGTGTATATTCATGTTTGATGAAAGCATGAGGTTGTAGTGATGAAAGGCTGTATTTCCATTAGTTCAACTTTAGATTAGTAATGAAAATCATCAAATCCAGGACTTAGAAATTAACCGCTCTCTCTTCGGTCCAATGCCCTCCCCTTGCTTTATTGTTGTCTTGTTTATTTTTTTCCCTTTCCTACACAAAGGCTCTCCTTTTCATATTTATCAATCCACCCATCCTAATCTCTGTGTCTGAGACATGATCATTGGGCTGGTGGAGGTGCTTTATCAGTCCACTGCATTCATTTATACTCAATTAGATTTACTCTTCCATTCATGCACTTCCTTCCATCCATAGCAATTGACTTTCCTATTTATCTAATTTTACTTTGCTTTCCGACTCTGGACAGACTCTGTTCTCTTCTGACCTCACATTATTACACCTTTGTGATTTGAAAGAGTTACATTTACAGATAAAGTCTCTACTTTTACAATGTCAAAAGCATACTTATTAAAGTTCTTGATATAGCCTACATAGTTTAAATGAATGAATAAATACATTTAAATATTGATCTGGATACTATGTGAATGCTCAGAGGACATGTAGTATGGGAGCGGTACTTATTTCTTATGCTATTTTAGGGCTACACAATATTGAAGAAAAATATGATATGCCATAACGTGTTAAATACTTTGAAATGCGATATGTAATATGGTAATGTGTATAAAATCAATTTAAACTGGTCATAATGACATGTTTTTTAAATTATTTTAAAATGTTCCTTGAGGTTCACTTATAATGTTGAAAGTTTTTTGCACACAAAAAAAAAAAATGTGAAAAAATTATTATTTTCAAACCTCATTCTGACCCTCTGTTTTAAACGACCTGTTTTAAGGGGCGGGTCCTTCTCAGTAATCCGCCACTGTTATGATTGGCTAACATCATTGCATAGGAAACAGTATAAACGCCCCCTCGCTATTGCATGTGTGTTTCGACAACATGGAGAAAAAGAGAAAAAAGGTAATTTCCAGACAAAGCATTCACTTAGGGTTTGTGATGCAGCTGCAGTAAGATCTAGTACCTTTTAACAAATGTTTCTTTGTGAACTCTTCATGAATACAAAGCAAAGCGAATGTTCTTTCACTCCATTTGTCCTATTGACAGACTCAAGCGCATGGACTGTGTCAGAAAGTGAACGAGCGTAGCGCACGCACCGATGATTAGTGACGAACACGGAAGTGCGACGGAGAGAGAACAAAACAAAATGCCAGTCACAAATTAGAAGTACAAAACGAGGATTTGTAAAGAAAAATGTCAGACGATTTCGATATAAGCCAAGAGGAGACTGGTTTTCCTTTGCTAAAGTAAGGAAACTTTGCTTTCTTTGCTCCTGTAAACAAACGTTGGTTTTCGTGACACTCACACGTGCATACGTGCAAAACGTTTTAATTTGTTGAACAAAAAACACCCACCCATGTCATTATAAAGCTTGGAAGTGCCATGACAATTTTTAATATAACTTTGATTGAATTCGTCTGAAAGAAGAACGTCATATGCACCTAGGATGCCTTGAGGGTGAGTAAAACATGGGCTAATTTTCATTTTTGGGCGAACTAACCCTTTAAGTGACTGAACGCCAGTGGGTGGGTCCTGTGGTGAGAAGATGACTATTTGTCGATGTCTTGCTCTGGAGGCAGTGTTTATGCAAATGTTTGTGCCCAGGTGATGTCATTTGGCACCTCAGATCCAAACAAGCTTGTGACGAGTTGGGCTGGGCCGAGAGCCGTGGGAACGGAGCAAAGCCGGTGGAGTTTAATGATAATAAGCGACACCTGCGCCACTCACTGGTCTCGAGTCCCACGGAGGAGCTCCGGAAGGATAAAAGGAGGAGCGATGACAGTGGAAGATGAGAGAGGACCAGGCCTGGACTTTATTTGTGTTTTGCGTGCAGCAGTCGTCCGTGAGGGGCTGCCGCTTTACTTTTGTGTTTGTTTATTTTGTTATTAAATGGTTTAAATGTTCGCCAGTTCCCGCCGAACCGGTGAACATTTAAACCATTTAATAACAAAATAAACAAACACGGCTCTCGGCCCCGCCCCACTCGTCACAAAGCCGTTTTTGGAGCTTGTTTAAATAAATGCTTTGTTCAAAATGAGGAGGTCGTTTTAAGCTATGAAACTTGCAGGATGTTTTAATGGTACAAAGACCAATATGCCAAAAGATCAAGGCAAATTGATGCAGCTTTAAAATGCTGCAGCTCCAGCATTTTAAGAGCATGTATGCTACACTGCCACAGCTCTGGCAGCATTGTGTTTGCGCCACAATCTCACATATGATGACTGTACTAAATTCTAATTAACTCCTGTCTCATTTGTTTAGTTTTGGTGGTTATTACATTCTTGGAAGTCCACTTTGTAGATATTTCAAATTTAATCTCCATCCTCTTTTGGTTATTCATCAGTGTCCTTCACAATTATAATGCAGGTTGGTAAAAACACAGATGTGTCGCCTTTCTTCCAATTGACTTAATTAGCCCACTTCAATCCCCTCTGCTCTCTCCCCATCCCCTTACATCATCTGCTCTCATCGAGCAGTTTATTTTATGAACTTTCTTGATCTTTTGACCCTTATGGCTCTGGCTTTGTCTTACTGTCACCTCAGTCATCAGGAGACTGTTTGCTCAGCCTGAATTACAGCTTTCTGGCATTGTTGAGACCCATCATTGCTCTGAAAATGCTTTCTCAGTCCCCTAATGGAAAGCACTGATTTAAGGCCTATTTCACTGAAGACAGCTTTGCTTCATGTTTTTACACTGCAAACTGTTACAGTTTTGCTCAAGGCTATTTTGAAGGTGTCACTTTAGGTCGAAATGTGATGAGTTTCGCCACACATATTAATGAGATTTTCAATTTCTTTAACGTGAGTGGGTCTGTTCTTTTATATTTTCCAAATGTTTTGTTTTGCCTCTGTCTCTTTTTTTAACAAATGGGACAATTTAAGAGGGGTGCATAAACTCAGCCTGAGATCAGGAAATGACTTGAGCTTGAACTTGGTTTGTGGTTGTGCATGTGCACAGCCCACTTGTCTTTCCAGTAGTAAAAACGGTAACACACAGCCTTGTCATCGCAACTACAATGTGCCATGCTCACACACATAGTGTTTGTGTAATCACGCAATAGGCTTGCAATCAGGCTAGTGCTTGTTAAAAAGGCTGCTTAAGTAGGCTGTCCTTGTTTTGTCCCCGTTATGTGTAGTCTGGCATTTTTGCAGCCCATCCTTCATTTGTAATGCTATTCATGAGAGTTTTCATGTTTTTATTCAAGTCCACAGAGTTAATAATTATAGAACTACTGGACCTAAAAATCCAACTATCCCTGTTAAAACTTCCAGGTTCTCTCTTACACTGTTTCAAGCCCAGTGTTTGATGCAGGCACAAGTACAGGTTTTACCATGACACGGCCTGTCTTTAGAGATTTATGTAGCTCATATCATATGAAATATTTTCCAGTTATAAGCGGTATTATTTTCATGCCTCATATTAGAGCTGTTAATTCAGTTCAACAATAAATTATTTATAATAAACACGTCAACATTCATTAAAAAATATGAATTGTAAATTTTGATGTCATGGCCACTTAAAAGTTTTCGAACTACATTCTTGTAGTTTGTGCACTGTGCACTGCTCAAGGGAACAGGGATAATATATAGATATAATTAGATATAAAAGATATACAATATTTTGTCTTGTTCCTTTTTATTATGCAGAGATCATAAGTAAGAGTTTCATATTTTAAATTCCCTGAAGAGTGTCATCACTGTGGTTCTGTGATGCAGAAGGGTCCATATTGGTCTTTTGGAAGCAGGTTTGGAAACATCATTATATTTGCAGTTCCATTGAATAGGGGATTATATTTAAACAGAAATAAACCGCTTTAATTATTGACTTTTTCTTTGCTTTGATTCTTCACTGTGATCTTTCTTTTGATTTTGATTTTATTTTTTAAATTGATGTGGCCATGTCTTCTGGCCTTCTCACCCAGTTTTGATTGGAATTACTAGTTTGGCAAGCTTGGAGCAATGTGGAGAATAGTGATGTGTTACTTCATGATGATGGAGTGTTTTAGAGCAGTTTTCAACCTTTTCTGACACAGAGATGTCCCATGAGACTCCCAAGAGTCCCAACCACCTCTGGAACGCAATTAAATGAACATGACAGATTGACACCGTATCATTACTTTCATTATTAACATTAACATATACATTGAAGTGATAGTTCACCCAAAATCATTTACTCACACTCATGTTGTTCTAAACCTGCATGAATCTTTCCTCTGTGAAATGAAAAAGAAGATATTTTGAAGTCTAAATTAATTTAGACTTATTTGTATCGACGTCTTCTGGATTAAAAACAGGCATGAGTCAGAGTAATTAGATGAGACTTGTAGTCCTCATGTACATCAGTAGTTTCTTATAATAATTTTAGGCCTCTATTTATAGCCTCTTATAAACAGAATCAAATAAAAGTTAGTTTGCATGAGTTGGTCTTAAGTCATAGTTCATTACCACGGCAACTGTTTACGTGTCCGGGTTTGAATGCGTTTCTTATGTATGACAAATATCTGTGCACATGACAGGTGGAAAAATCGCAAGAAAAGTTTGACGTGTACTTATACATCAACTTACGTGTGTAATTACACATTATTTTTGGGTATTCTATTTGTTTGGATATTTATATAGGGTCTGTTGTCGTTTCATTTGTAATATTTCCCCTTTAAACTGGTATAAAATGTCATACTTTATATAATTGCACGGTATAGTACAGTATATAATTTCATGTTTTAAAAACCTGTCTTTTCTGTTTTATTTTCCGTCCAAATACTCCGTCACATTGCTTGTCTTCTGAGTGGACATTTGTTTTTAGCTTTTTAAAAATTATTTTTTATTTTAAAAATGTAACATATTAATATGAAAACCTTTATAAAAAATTTCAAGCAAAACATAAATGTGCAAAAAAAATGTAAACAATTAGTATTTTTTAGAATCCTATTCTGTCTAAGTAACCATGGAAATTTCATTTGACCCAAGAAATTGTAAAAATGTGTTCTCATCTTTAGCCTGAAGAGAAGTGGTACCGTCATAGAAACTGCAACATGTTTTGAGTCCATATACGTTTCCTCTTGCTCTGGTTTTTAATGCTTTATTTAACATCACCCCTCACATTGACTACATAAATGAGTCAGATACACAAATAATTTTGTTGTGATGCCACAACTAGGGGATAACGTGATTTTAAAAAGTCTTGTAAATGTCATCTGCTTGTGTTGCCAGGTAATTGTTTTGGATGTAAACCAGTAAAAAGGGTTATTTCAATAAGCTGATTGTGGTAGTTATCAATGTGCATGCAAATACCCTTAATGAATGTTAATACGCTTTCGGTCACTGCTCTATGGAAATGAAACGATGTCTTTTGATACTCCAAACTTCTTAAACTCTGTTAGAGAGAGGTCTTTTTTATTTTTTTTGGACAATGCTTTTTACACTGTAACAAAACAAAAATCCATAGAAAAAACGATAATGTCCTGACAGAAAATTACCCGTAGATTTTCCTTTAGGTTTAAGGACATTTCCTTCAACCCTAAAACACAACACAATACAATGTGTAATTCAAAATGTGGATAAAACCCCTGTGAAAAATTTATATGGAAATTTTTTTTTTTTTTTACAGACTTTTTTTTGGGGGGGGGGATGCAGAAATAGTAGTCCAAAGACCTTAAGCTGTGTAACCTCTCGACTTCCAGGATGTTGATGGGTTATGGTTAGTTATTACCAATACTGTTACAGAAATAGCTGTATTGTCAGCCCAAGGTAAGTTGTGAGATGAAATGCTAGAAATATAAAAGCACTGACATTTGCATGATGCAAAAGCATGCAAGAGTTGCGTATCTTCCTCTGTGATGCTGACAGAGCTACAGGCCCTCCATCAATGACCAACACTATATGTGTGGGCCACATGCTTTTTAATAAGAGAGTTTCTGCCATTTGGACAGGTGGGCCAAGGAAATTTCTTGTCACATGTACTGTATGTAGCGAATCAGCTCATGGGGAAATATGAATAATTAATCATAACTAGTTATAATTCATTATAAATATTTAGATCCGCTGTAGATATTTAGCTGACCTCTCAGGGTCAACTGTCTTTCAATTCTAAGAACATTAATTTCCTTGTCAAAGGGAATAACTTTCTTGAGACAGCAATAATATACACAATGACCTGAAGGATATGTGTGTTCATTCAAAGAAAAGTTTTCCTATGAATTAATTAGTAGAAAAGTCCATTTCTACTGTGCACTGTGGATTTCCTATGGAAATTGTAGTGAGAAAGGTGTTTCTCAACATGCCATTAGGTCGTAAATGTATCTGGTGTCAGGGTTGCCATGGTAACCAGGGGGAGCCTGGTGTCGTTGCATACGTCCTGGCATCCAGTTTATTGGGTGAGGGGACTGTGACGATTTGTTAATCTAATGAATAACTGATTTGTTAAATCAAATGAAAAATTGTGTGTTTGATTGGTCCAGACGCTACATGTATGTCACAATTAAATGTCACAATTGCTTGAAATTAGATGTTGTCCGTCACTGTGTTAATCACAAATGCCATCCATACTTAATGTGAGTGTGTTTACAGATCGGCCCACTTATATTTGTGTGCTACTGTCAATAAAGCAAAAGGGCAACCAGACCAAAATACTTCTACATTCTGAAAATAATGCACATTTTCCAGTCCAATTGTTATGCTGCTACTATTATTTATTTATTTATTATTATTATTTTAGGAACGAAATGAAGCATTTTTACCTCTAGCTTTAGACTACTAATGAAAATGTGAAGACATCGATATCAGGATCTCATGTATGAATTCAGTATTGTCAAAATCAGTGAAGCTCTAGTAATACATTTTGAGCTTCAGCTGCATATAATCCTGAAACCCATAAACCTATTGCTGCATGTTCACTGAATAATTAACACTTGCAGCAGAACTCATGGTGTTAATGAGGTTCGCATGTGTCTGTGTCTCGCAGGAAGGAGTAGAGGTGAGAGTGGCTCGGATCTTCAACACCTTCGGGTCTCGCATGCACATGAATGATGGGAGAGTGGTCAGTAATTTCATTCTGCAGGCTTTACAGGGAGAGCCGCTGACGGTAAGACCCATTGACCTTGTTAAAATAATGAACCAATGAACTCTCAATTACTGCTTTGACTCAATTCAGCTTCACACAGACAAACAAATGGGGGTTACTTCAATTTGTAGCCTTGTGAAATTAAAAAGTGGGGCATCCATACAGAATGCCGTCTTTTTCTTACCTATCAAAAACTGTTTTTTTTTTATTATGTTAATCAGATGGGCTTGGAAATGACTGAGTTTTGAATTAAAAAAATGTTATCCCTATGGCAAATTTTAAATGAACACATTATATTTTCACATTTTTTTGCATAATGTCATGTGCTCTGAATCTGAGGTATGATTATGATTCTGTTTGTTTTACATTTTTCAGGTTTACGGTTCAGGTTCTCAGACAAGAGCTTTCCAGTATGTGAGGTAAGCACTGATAAAAAAACTAAATACATCTGTGGGTGGGTTTTCATTTGTTTTGTATCTAGAGCACAAGAGGACACATGCAAAAGTAAATAGATGCTATGAAAATACAAAAACAACAAAATATGGGAGCATAATACTATAATTGGCTGATTTTTCCGTCATTTTGAACAGTGAATGTTCAAACTGTCCACAAGTGGATTGAATCAAAATTATCTGTGAAAAATGCTTTTAAAGTCAACGCTCAAAACAAGGAAAATAATACATTGGCTTGTTCTGAATAAATAGGCGATGTTACAAATTTGAGGGGGAAAAAAAACTATACTGCCATGAACAAAGATTTACGTAACACATCCATCTGACCCTTTTTTCCCCATTTCCATCAGTTTTCATGTCATCTCTAGTCTTCTGTGTTATTCCTTCTAATGTCATAGTGCAATTGTGAATGATAAGAGCAGAGAAAAAAGCCCATCTGGTCTCTTTAATGTCAAAAGAACAGCACAAATGAAATGCGTGAACAAACAAAAGTATTAACATAACAGTCCCATGTTTTGTCTTAATGAAATGAAACTTGGGGGAAAAACAGACCTTGACACATTGCTTCATGGCGTTTTCAAGGACGGAGATCGGCTTTTGATGGGATTACTAATGCTTTCTGGTAATTGCGTTGAAGGTATTTCAAAGGCAGAACTCTGTTTTATTATTTAAAAGGCTGCAGATTTGTGTACAGACTGATAATGTGGTGGTGCTTTGGTAGAAGTAAACTTATCAGTTATTAAAGGGGTCATATGATGTTGCTAAAAATAAAATTATTTGGTGTAATGAAATGTTTATGCGGTTTAAGGTTCAAAAACACATTATTTTCCACATACTGTACATTATTGTTTCTCCTCTATGCCCCGCCTTTCTGAAACGCGTCGATTTTTACTAAGCTCATCGGTCTGAAAAGCGAGGTGTGCTCTGATTGGCCAGCTATCCAGTGCGTTGTGAATGGCTGAATACCTCAAGCGTGTGACGGAAATGTTACGCCCCTACCATACTGTGATGCCGTGTCCCGGCTGGAGCGACAAGACAAAAATATTAAAACCCTTTATAAACGAGGCATGAGCAGCATTTACTACACAAAGCCGTTCTTCACTGACAAGCTGCGCAAAACATGCTCAAAATATGATCGTGGTTGTGCGCAGCTTGTCAGTGAACAACGGCTCTGTGTAGTAAATGCTACGGTGGCTGAGAGAGCTCAATGCGCTGCAACTTAAGAAAACACATGCAAATTGAAAAAACACCAGCAAATTAAGAAAACATCTTCATCAGTTTGTTTCTGTCAATATGGGGTGCTGTGTGTACATTAATGAGGAAAAAAAAAAATATAACAATATAACAAAGAGTGAAAAATTTAAGGGGGTCTGAATACTTTCCGTACCCACTGTATATATATATATATATATATATATATATATATATATGTGTGTGTGTGTATATATACTTGCGTATAGATATACACACATTTATAGTTTTAAATGTACAGAATTTCTAATTACTTTTTCATTTTGCTTTTTAAAGTCTGTCTGGTTTATGCTTCTATTAGTACTCTAATGATGAGTAGGAATAAATACTGCCAACTTAGCTTTTTGGGAAAGGGGCCACTTGCAAGCTGATTTTGGGGGTGCCTTTAATTTAATCTGAGCTTAGTTAAGACAAACCTGTCACAAGACTGATTACAATCTGAAGAAAAGAAAGGTCCAGTCTGTTGGTGAAATATATCATTTTGGCAGGGATGTCTGGCAGAGCCGTCTTGTCTCGTCTAGCTTCAAGCCTGTTTATGAAAGTTAGTGTTGCATGGCCTTCATCATTTGTGTCAGGAATTTTGTAAATGCCTCTTGGATCTGACCATCACATGTATTTCATAATTTGTCCACGTCCAGGGAACAGGATGGCAGAAATATTCTCTAAATATATTATGGTGCTGTTTGTAGGTGATATTTTGAGTATAATTTAATTAAGCCGGTTTTATCTAGAGGTATATGGCTGCCTTGGCTCATCTTTAGAAGACCCAACACACTCCGGTGGGGTAAGAGATCAGAGCCATCGTGGCTTATTTGAAGTCTCAGTGTCTCAGTAGAACAAACATTCTCCTGGATGAGCAAAGTTCACTTAATTAGGACTGTGTAATATAACACACGGGATTGACCACAGAATTTTCAACAGACCAAAGTCTTAAATGACAGACATCGATTGAGTGTCTGAAGGCTCTGCCCAGCTTTTAACCATCTGCTCATAAATGAACTACTGGCCACCCTACTAAAGGAAGTGTTTTTGGCATTGATAACACTGGGGAGTTCATTAAACTCATAATTCGGGTACATTCAAACGGCATAATTCAGAGGGAAATGTAGGGTGAGTTCATACTGTAACTCCACAGGTACAGTACATGGCTTTGCAACATTACCATTCAAAATAGGGTGCATTTGAAATTTAGAGGGAACTTTTCCTTTATACAACCTTTTAATATGTATACATAGTACAGATGAGAGTGCAAGAAGCCAAGGCCAATCCTTTGAACATAAAGTATCTACCTTTTAAGAGGCATTTACAGTAACTTTTAACCTCTTAACCTTTTTTTAAAATTAGGAATCTTGACATATTTTACATTTTAGCAGTTGATGTGATTTTTTTCCTTGTTTTTTTAACTAGCAGATCAACCGCAATGGCAAGACTTCACAGGGAACACATACTACCAGGGGCCTGTTTCATAAAACCTTTACCAAATAAGCCAGGTTTATTTCAATTAGTCTGACTTATCGTCAGTTGATTTGGTTCAAAATAAGTCAGACTAATTGAAATAAGCCTGGCTTATTTGGTAAACTTGTTTTATGAAACAGGCCCCAGAATGTATACCTTAAATGAATCACCTTGGATACAAAAACGTCAAGCACATTAATGTTATATAAGTTATTTATAGAGTATTTTAAATTTTCTTGAAGTGCTTTAAGCAGTGTTTTTGTTCAGTGTGTTAAATGTTCATAATACCTATACAGATATCACTAAAATAAAAGAAATAAACAGCATAAAGAGTCTTTAGTAGGTCAGGAAACTAGCCCAACATGCGCTTTGTGATTCTTTGAAACTGACTGAAATTGTTTACATCTCTTGGTATTCTAGCTTATAAAAGAACATTTAAACTCAATTTCATCTGAAAATGTTACTTTTTACGAGTTGGCAATTTCACATTTATTGGTATGATTTGAATGATCATACAAATTTCACTACCAATTTCCAAACATGTGAAATAGTTATGAATTGGAACACTTGATGCAGTAATCTATACAAATTAAAAATCTTTCAACCTTGACTTTCAAATGTTTGCCTCAGGAAATATTGATTCTGTATTTAAACACATGTTTGGTCTTTTGGACAGCAGAACCTCAACCTTTAAAAGAAGAGCAGTAGATAAGAGCAGGATTGGCCAAACCGGATTAGAAATTGTGTGCATCATATTTAAAAGAAGGCAGTATCACCAATTTAACATATTGAAGGCGTCCCATACAAGCAGCATGTAGTTTCACTCAATGTTCCCAAACATGGTACCTCATACCATCTTGGCCATCTTATCTGTGATGTTTCTCTGTTATCTAAGTCTTGGTAAAATCTGCTTTTTTCTCCTTTGTGGTTTAAGACATTTCACGGCTTGTTGTATCAGTTTTAATGACATTATTGTCCCTGTTAAAAGCAGGAAAGATGCAGGCTGAGCTGCTCTTATATACTTACTAATAAGGTTGTCACAATACCAAATTCCAGTAGCTGATAGCAATACCAGTGTAATTGCACAATTGTTGTTGCTAGTTTCAATATCAAAAGTTAAATATTAATATGCATATGGTCTGGAGGAAAAGACATCAGTCAAACATCACACTAAAGAAAGGATGAGATGATCGGAGGTAAAGTGAACTCATATAGAAACGTGGCACTTGTTTGAAAACTTGGATTTCCACAGGCTCTGATATCCCTCTCAGGGTCAGAGCCCACACTGCTCAAGGAGATAGCGCCGCAGCTCTGGGATGATTCATCCTACAGATAAATACGGTAGTGTTATCTTAAATAAGCAGTGTACACTCAGTGAAGAGAAGATGGACCAGTATGATTGATCTCATAGTGTTATTAAAGGGAAAGAGACCAATTCACATCTATCATTCCAGCTGTATTGACAGATCAAAGGCAACTCTTGTGGCTTGTGTTTGGCGCACATCTAAAAGGAATAGTTCACCCCAAAAAACATTTTTATTTATGAATTTATTCCCTCATATTATTCTAAACCGGTTGTTTGTTTGTTTGTTGTTTTTTCTTTAACCATGTAACACAAAAAGTTTTGTCAGAAAATAATGACAGAATTATAATTCTTGGGTGAACCATTCTTATGACTTTGAGTAAATTCTCTCTTTTTTAAAGTTATATTTTTTGTCATTTTGCTAGTTTTCAGAAGTGATGGAATTCCTGTCAGTGATGGTGTTACAGTTTGTGTGTGTCTGTGTCAAGACTTTTTTGTATTTCGGCCAGTATTAGGTTATTTTTATTTATCTGGACCAGCTGCTAATTTTTTCTATTTTGGCGATAAGCGTTATAATCTGACATTTATTTTAACAGCGCCTAAGTATATGCACAAAGAGCTCCTATTCTCTTTACAGTTCTGTCTTTTTTAATTATTTTGGGAAGAAAAAAACTAAATGAAAAAGTGTTAGTGTTTGCCTTTCTATTATTAGCAATACAAAGACACATGCTATAATACTTTCCCATATACCGTTAGCATTCAGCAAACGCACATCTATATCATAAAAATATAACTTAAAAAAAGAGAGAATTTACTCAGTCATAAGAATGGTTCACCCAAGAATTATAATTCTTCATGTGCTGGTCGTCGCCTAATTAGAACCCGAAGTAGATAAATATCACGTGTACTTTTTAAAACAGTATACGACAACAACGGGAAACTCTGTATATTCATGCAGTGTGCGCATGTCAAAAGATTAAATCCGATCAGAAGCTTGTGACTTGCGGAGTCAAAAGTAACAATTTTGATGTTATATCATATATCATTTAGTAACATAAATATGTCTTAGTGTATCCCGCGGTACTATCTGCGCACATATCAATCGCATCACTGGGCTGTAGGTTGCCAGGTTGAGGGGACAAATGGGTTGAAATTTGTATGTGTCGATCGTTCGGTGTTTCATACAAGATCTGGCAACTGGACAACCTTGGAATTTGACAGGTATGATAGATGTATATATATATATATATATATATATATAAATAATTTTTTTTATTTTCTTTCTATTATAATTTTAATTTTATTTTTTTTGTAGATACTAGGGCATGTAGTGTCATGAGCACAGTAACTGAAATGTAAAACTGTTAAAAGAAAAGGCTCAATAAACTAACGCACGTATTTAATACACTACGCATCAATATATCTTCACTTTGTGCTTTGAACTTTTCTATGCGGAGCGCTGCGTGCGCTGTGACTCCGTGTTGCTTCAAGCGCATCATTCTGCACACGGGATGTGCATAAGCGCTTTGTGCCGCTCTTTATTTGGAGCCTTTAGTATCATAATACTTTTGCACAATGAAAGATTATTAAAAGCCTTTCTTGTTCGTCTTATCTATCATATGTTGCTGCCTCATTACTCTGCTATACATTTAAAAGAAATGTCTTAATTTATACAGTAACGTTCAACAACATGTTAACATTCAGTAAATGTTCAACATTTGAAGTGGATCAAAAATTTCATCAAAGAACGGGTATTGTTTTGGTTTTAGGACAACTTTGATGAAAGGTTTTGATCCACTTCAAATGTTGACTATAGTATATATTTATATATAAATATGACTTGTTTTTCATGCATGTATTTTGCAACAATACAAAGAGCAATGTGTTCCAGATTTAGTCCTACTCTTATTCACTTTTATTTGATCCCCACTAAATAGTTTTTTTTTTTTTCACTAAAAGTTTAGGATTTTATAAAATTATTGTGCACTCATGATTTTTCTAGAGTAACTTTTGCTACTGAATTATCCATTAACCTAGTTTATAATAGTATTTCTGTCGTAGATTATGATTATATATTTTTTCGTTTGTTATTTTCCTTTATAATGAAGCTGTCTATATTTAGTAGATTGTGTGTAACATACGAAAGAGTGATGATCAGGTCAACACGTATTGAGGTATAGAAATTCTACACTAATTTAAAAAAAGCTGCGCTGGTATCGGTTCGATATCGGCAGATACCTGTAATTTTTTATATTGGCTCGGGATCGGTCCTAAAAAAGTGGTATCGAGCCAGCCCTACCAAAATCTATTATTTGTAAGCAACTAGCAATTTTTCCAACAAGCCATTTGTCCACACTGAACCATTACTGTGTCAAGCAGCAAAACTGTTTCATTTGACACAATAATGACTAATCAAAGGATTTTTGAAGAGCCATGCCGTTACAACGAGTGGCATTTTGGGCCAAAAAAGGGTCTATAGAAAGAAACCAATCGATCTAATAAATACTTTATCACTTCTAATGTGTATTGGGAAGTTATTAGAGTAGTTGATGGAAGCAGACAACTGAACTTAAGGGATATTGCACACTTCTCTTTTTTTTTTTTTTTTTTTAAGCTTCCTCTTGCCGTAAGCTGCTGGGACTCTCAAGGCTTTAATAAAATATAAATGTCCACAAGTTTGTCCTTTCAACTGACCTTGCGAGCCTTAACCATTCATTATTCACATTCACAATCTGCATTGCATCCAGTTAAGTCACGGCATGTCAAAAATTAAAAGCTCTTAAGCATCGTGATTTACACTTGATCTGCACTAGCAGGGTTGGTTTGGTTCTTTTGTCCTTGTGGAGGTGTAGATGACAGCACTTGAGACTGTTATTAATGGTCATTATGCTGTCTCCCTTCTGAGACCGAATGGACTGGATGTGTGCTCTTACATTAAATGAAAATCTGTTATTGAATCTGAAGGTTTGAATGGCTGCGCTGGTGTGTTAGCGAGATCTCTGCTGCCCCACTGTGTTCATGCCCACACACACTGAAGGAATTCACATGTGTGTGTATGAACACCCTGAAGAGAAAATTAACTGTGACTCATTCATACAACCAGATTTGCAAATTGCCAAAGGCTTCTATTGAATTGAGTTTAAATAGTTTATAATTTTATTTCCATTTCATTCATTTGCACGTCACTTCAGATGAAGTCATTGCATCTGCATTGTTCTTTCACTGTGCTTTGTCGTGATGCCACATACTCTGGTTTAGTCGTTTCTTTTTTCCCCAGTGATCTGGTGAATGGCCTGGTGTCCCTGATGAACAGTAACATCAGTAGTCCAGTTAACCTGGTGAGTTTAGCATTTTGCCTTCAGGCATTATTCACTCATCGATTTGTTGTAGTACACTGTATATTCAAAAAAAATACTCTGTAAGTGTTAATATATGATCAATAGAAACAATCCAGTAATTAAGAGTTTAGGCCTGGCTTTCAGCTGTAATGTTGAATGGCTAGTTATCATTTTATCCTTAGAAACTGAGAAGAAGAATAACTTCCTAACGTCAGTACAGGTTTATTTTAATTAACATAACTTTCAAATAATTACTTCAACTTTTTACTTTTGTACTTGTACTTTTTTTTTTTTTTTTACAATTTTCATTTAGTTTAGCTTAAAAAAAAAGTATCACCATAAATATCACAACAACTAAAAGACAACAATTCAAACGCAAATAAAAAGGAGAAAAACAACAACATTTCTAGATCTTTCAAATGAATCGTGATTAAGCGTCTGCTAAATGACTAAATGCTTAATTGCAAAAACCTGTGCATTCCATTTTAAGCGATTCAGCACTAGATTTTATTTTTCTTTCTTTTACAGTTTGTAATAATCTAGTGTTAATTTACAAATATACTATTGATCATTGCTGTAGTAATTCATATTACCTAAGACACAAACAGGCAATTTGGTCATTTGATTACATGAAAATATGTTTGTCATGTTTAAACAAGTACATTTATGCTATATGGACTGGATAACTATTATAAATCTAAAAAAGACTTGTCTTCTCTTCTCTTTGCTTCTAGGGCAATCCAGAGGAACACACTATACTAGAGTTTGCACAGCTTATTAAGAGTCTAGTTGGTAAGTAGACATTGTATAAAATTGCAAATGAGGTTTTAGAATCTATGATTAATTGAACAGCACGCCGCTGATTGTCTCCTCAGTGAGCCGCAGTCATATTCAGTTCCTTCCAGAAGCACAGGATGATCCACAGAGAAGACGGCCAGATATCCGCAAGGCCAAAATGCTTCTGGGCTGGGAACCTGTGGTGAGCATCATGAATATTAGGGCAATTTTACCCCAAAATTTGGGTATGTCGATTTTTTTTTTTTGTTATTTATAGATTTTTTTTATATATATATATAGATTTACTTTTATTTATATATTTATTGTTTTTATTTTTTCTGTTATTTGTATACATTTATAGTTTGTTTTATTAGTGCTGGGCAACGATTAATCGCATCCAAAATAAACGTTTTTGTGTACATAATATATGTGTGTGTACTGTGTATATTTATTTTGTATATATAAATACACACGCATGAATGTAAATATTTCAGAAAAATATGTTATGTTTATATATTAAATATATTAATATATAAATATATACATGTAAATATTTTCTAAATATATACTGTATGTGTGTGTCTTTATATATACATAATAAATATAAACAGTACACACACATTTATTATATAAATAAAAACTTTTATTTTGGATGCGATTAATCGTTTCCCAGCACTAATTTTTATCTATTTATTTATTTAATATGCTCTATAATAAGACAAGAAACATGCCTTTAATTTTATGATGGTTTTACATGTTAATTTATAATAATACAATTCTTTACATTAATCATTATAATTGTTCCTAGTAGTAATATTAATAATTATTGAATTTTTATGAATATTATCAATTATTTATATTAATAATCAGGAATATTCATTCTTCCTAGTTGTTCATTAGTCTAACCGTAGGCACATTTACATAGTATGTGTACAGTCACTAGTGTGTGTTTTGTTATTTTTACGACAGTCTCAAATATGGTTGATCCGATCATAATTCGTAGTTGGAACAGTCCGTTTAATAAGATGTGATTTGTGTGTTTGCAGGTGCCACTGGAAGAAGGCTTGAACAAAACCATCCAGTACTTCAGCAGAGAGCTGGAGCATCAAGCCAACAATCAGTATATACCCAAACCCAAAGCTGCACGGATGAAAAAAGGAAGACCCAGACACAACTGATGAATTGTGTTGATCTCAGGGATGCTGGGATACTGAAGGACCTTAGACGTCCAGCAACCATTTTACAGCGTGGGTCTCCCACCTCCCACTTTCAGATCCATCTTTTTGAAAAAATTAATTCATTAAAAAAAGGAATTTTTCTGATGCTTTTCGCAAATATTTTGAAAAGCAGCTCCGTCTGAGAGCTCTCTCTAAAGAGTTTGTTTTTCAGTCAAATGTGCCTCAAAGATATCCGATTTACAGACTTTGCCTTGCACTTTGGTTTGTCAGTCGTCTGTATGTTATTTAAAGCAAGCTTAGATCTTCATGTGCATTTGTGTTGCGTGTTTACATTCTGTGCCGTTTTAATTGATGTGATCTATTTTTTTTATCGTTGTCAAAGCTAGCGGTGTGTTATTGCTAAATGGACACCTGTAGAAAATTAGCGATTGCAAACTATTTAAAGATCTCGAATGTCTGGTCTGGAGCAGGAAACCTCATCCAGCTCTGTCAAGAAATTTGAGGACACGGATGAAAAACTGCTTTGGAAAATGTTCTTTCTGCTTTAAACTTTGTGATGATTTTGAGCAAAATCTGTTGTTACCTTTGTGAAACTTCATACAGAACTTTGAACCTATAATTGATTTCAGGTGAAAATAATATTTTAATAAAAAATATTTACTGTGACTTTCACTGTATTCTCACTTTCTCTGTCCTTCTGCTTAATGAAATGTCATTTCACATTTGTATTGTATTTATCACATTTTATTTGATCTCTGCATTCCCGTTTACATCGCTTTTCTCCGTTCACCACTGATTTTTGTCTGTGTTATGTCAGGAGTCATTTTTGGTTTGTCGAGGCTGCATTTACTTGATCAAAAATAACGTAAAAAGCATAATATTGTGCAATGTTAATACAATTTAAAATAACTGTTTTCTATTTGAACATATTTTAAAATGTAATTTATTCCTGTGATGCAAAGATGAATTTTCAGCATCAGTGTCACATGATCCTTCGGAAATCATTCTAATTTGCTGCTCAAGCAACATTTATTAATTTGTGAATTTTATAAATAAAAAGTTCAAAATATCTTTTGTAGGATTGTAAATGTCACTTTTCATCAATTTAATGCGTCCTTGTTGAATAAAAGTATTCATTTCTTTCAAAAACAAACCAACAAACAACCTAGGTTCTGTAGTTTTTATTGTAACGCTCTTTCCAGCCTTTTGAAAACAACACCAGACAGACACCAAGTTCACCCAGAAATGATCCGGTCATCATTTACTCATTGGTCCAAACCCATTAGATTTTTAATTTTTTTTAATAACATCATTCTTGTTCCTTTCCATATAATGAAAGTTATGTAAAAGATGACTGGGGCTGTCAAGCTCAAAATATGATTTGACAAGATTATTGGTAATGACTTAAATTTCAGTCTTTTCTTCACATAAAGGTAGCATATGGTATATGGCAGTGGTTCTCAACTCTATAGGCTACTTTTATGATATTTGTCTGGTATATCTTTGTCATTTTCAAGAAAGTGATGACATTCTTCATTTATGTGTGAACTATTAAAATGGACCCCCCACCTTAAGAATTTCTTTGTTATTTTCATTTACGAAAGGAAGTACAAGCTACAGAAGGAAGAAGCACTGTGTTAAATCAGAGCGGTTATGGCTTTGTTGTTTTAGTAGTAGTCATAATTGACGTTTGCCCCGTGCCTGTAAGAGCCGGCGCTGCGAGGCCCTATGGGAGAGTTTTCATCATAGTGATGCTGGCGACCCTGGTCACTGGAGCGGTAGTGGTCCATCCAGTAGGCCAGATCCGTTTCAAGTCTCTGAAGGAAATGGGAGGAAAAAGGTTCAACCATAAATATAAATCCCAGACGTCTGAAACAAGATGTCACATACATAAAAACATGACATTTGAGTAGCCAATCAGGACATTCCTACATATAGCTGTGCTCGTGTTTTGGGTTTTCAGTTTCTACAAGAGGTCAGACGTTTCGTCCCCTTGGAATTATAAGGTTCTATCTGACATTTTTGTCAAAAATTGAGTTATTCACATGTTCTTATTCTGTGACAACTTATTTACATTATGTGATTAATGTTGTATACATTTTGGGAATTTTTATTTTTTTAAAAAACCCAAAAAGGTTCTATCTACACAGTTGAATGGACTGAAGTTAAAATAGCATATTACTTGCATTTTAGTAACTGATATTAAAACCAGCCTAATTGAGTATCAAAAGCATTGAGCTATTCATCATTATATTTAAAGATAATATAACTATTGACATTCTTATATTAAAAATGTACCTGTTTGCATAGTATGTCTCTATATTAGACAAATAAATCAATAGAAGCTGCAGCTCTGTAATGAAACGCTCACAAAAATAGCTCTATACTGTTTGGCAGTAGCCTACCATAGTACAGTGATAGCATCAAATGGTAATACCATGGTAGCACGATACTGACATATAGCATGATATTTACATTGTTCGTGTTCAAAACACCATGGTACTTTTTGGTACTTTGTTGAATGTGACGTAAAGTGATATGACTGTTCAACCATAAATATAAATCCCAGACGTCTGAAACAAGATGTCACATACATAAAAACATGACATTTGAGTAGCCAATCAGGACATTCCTACATATAGCTGTGCTCGTGTTTTGGGTTTTCAGTTTCTACAAGAGGTCAGACGTTTCGTCCCCTTGGAATTATAAGGTTCTATCTGACATTTTTGTCAAAAATTGAGTTATTCACATGTTCTTATTCTGTGACAACTTATTTACATTATGTGATTAATGTTGTATACATTTTGGGAATTTTTATTTTTTTTAAAAACCCAAAAAGGTTCTATCTACACAGTTGAATGGACTGAAGTTAAAATAGCATATTACTTGCATTTCAGTAACTGATATTAAAACCAGCCTAATTGAGTATCAAAAGCATTGAGCTATTCATCATTATATTTAAAGATAATATAACTATTGACATTCTTATATTAAAAATGTACCTGTTTGCATAGTATGTCTCTATATTAGACAAATAAATCAATAGAAGCTGCAGCTCTGTAATGAAACGCTCACAAAAATAGCTCTATACTGTTTGGCAGTAGCCTACCATAGTACAGTGATAGCATCAAATGGTAATACCATGGTAGCACGATACTGACATATACCATGATATTTACATTGTTCGTGTTCAAAACACCATGGTACTTTTTGGTACTTTGTTGAATGTGACGTAAAGTGATATGACTGTTGGTAAGTCTATTTTTGGAAACACTGTAATTTAAAAAAAGAAAAATGTTGGTTACTATTTAGGGCTCCCCCTGGTTCCCACCCACCTACCTTGCAGGCTTATCAGCCCTACTTCCAGCTTCACAAGGTCCTCCAGGGGGTTCCTAACTCTAAACCCCCTACCCCCGGAGTGTGCAGGTGAAACAGGTGCCAGTGTAACCAGTGCTGCGCTCATGAAGAGATGCACGTATTTATAGCCAACCCCAGTGACCTCTTATTATTGAAGCGTTCTATTCATTTGCAAGGAGTCATTTGCGAGAAGGATTGCGCTATGACTGATCTGCTTTTTCTTTTGCGCTTTACAGTCACTTTACAGTAAAGAATGATATAAAGGTGTGGTATCAGTCGCTACCTGATGCTCATAAATCATTTACAAACCTTTAGTAGATGAAACTGGTTTATGGTATTTTTAAGAAATGACAACAAGCACTCACTGCTTCATCAAAGCCCATGTACATGAACTGCTGGATCCACTGCTGAACATCAGGGCGGCTGCGGTCCCACAGGTTCCTTTTGGGTCTTTTAAGGGAGGCCAGGAACTGTTTGGCCCTGGAGGGAGTCACAGCCACAGCTGCAGCTGGCTTTACATCACCGTCAACTAGTGAGAGACAAAGCCAATCGACAGGGCCATGGTACACCCATAGGTATTTTTATATTAGTGGGACTATGAAAAAAGTTTTCAGAAGATACTTTAACGTACTTTAATGTTTATGTTTTAAAATGACAAGATTTCAGCAAAATTTAGCAAAACTGTATAATATGTTCAGACACGTTTTCAGAAAATTTATATCGAGAAGTCTTCCATGTTCTTGCACTGGTGAATATTTTGCTGACAAAAAAAAAAAAAGGGGGAAATTACCTTTTTTCATCAAGAGTTTTTCCAGAGTGTTCTCACTTGCAACATCTAGAAAATATCAAAAACTGAATTAGGATGTATATCTTTTATACATTTAAAAAAAAAAAATTAAATTACAAACGAATACAGTGTTAACATTTTTGTAATTTTTACGAAAAAACCTGTAAAATGCTACAGCAAAAAAGCAAAATACTGTCAAATTTATGTAAAAACTGTCAATGTCAAATTGTGGAAGTAAAACAATGAATTACCATATAATTTACAATGACTATTGAAAAGAACATTCCCAAAATTCCCTGCGTGACACATCACATATGATTATATTTTATACACATTGTTTTTTTCTTTTAAGTGTTTTGTGCTAGGCTATATTTTCGGTTAATTAGTTCATGTTTATTGCATTGCTTTAGTGTCAGACATGCAGACCACAGATGAATTCTGATTCAACATGTGGTTTTCATGCATTGAAAAAAAACTCTCTGTGGAAAGTCTGACTCAATCAGACGCTATCAGACGGGGGAAGGGAGTGGGATCATAAGCCTATGCAAAGACGAAAAACATATAGTATTAATAACCTGCAAGTAGGTGTCCAATTCACTTTTGAAGATTTTAGTGAGACATACGACCGCAGAGATTTCATAACTCTTTATGTTTCATAAGTTTTGCATCTCTCCTGCTTTTACAGCTCCTTTCACACATTTAGCATGCTGTTTGATGATAGAAAATAATGATTTGTCTTTAAAGTGCACATCCACAGACCAAACAATTAAATTCATTTCTGCTCACAGTACATTTACTGACCTTTCCCACCTTTTCTGCTTACAATATCAGGTGAATCGCCCACATTCATACTTCAGACTGTGCAAGAAACTTTTAGCAGGCATTTTTGAAAGAAAGAAAGAAAAAGTGAGCTGCTAAGTGCAAGAAAAAGAGAGAAGAAATTACCCGAGAGTGCCAGTACAGTCAAT